ACACGCGTTGGCCCCATGGCGGCATTGGCTGGCCAACCCCATAGGAATGGCCCTGCCAGGTCAAATTCACGCGCGATGACTGTCTGAGAGGAAGAGCTCTGCAACTGGGCCAAAGGCTTTTTGCTCCTTTAAGCCCTTTTTCTTTCTCAAATTGTTACAGAAATGAAAAATGACACATGCTTTCCTAAAAGGGTCTGAGGGGTGTTTGCTGACTGAGGACTATGTCAGTGCAATCAAGATTCTGATTTCATGGAATAATGCAATAAATACAATACATCAAGTCCATCAACGATAACCAATGACTGGTATAAGCTAATACTAGTCACATGTCTTATTTGCAGTTGGCAAGAAAATCTGCTTGATTCTCTCGTAGGCCGACGCGTTGTCAGTTGCTCACTCCTACGTCAGGCTGGCACAGCTGACACTCGAGCCTCAGGTGCCCGCGAATGACACAGACCAAATTCGCACCCGTGTGTTTGGCGACTCTTGAGCGAGCCGGGGCAATGCTCTGGAAAATGTGGCATGAGGAATGTCCTGGACACAATGTAGAAAGATAATAACTAGTCCTGAACTGGAAGGACCGAAGCCACAATCTTGGGGCTTGTTAAACCGGAAGGCCACCACTCTGTACTCTCAGATATTGTATCTAAACAATTTACATAAGTTGGTCAAAGCGGGGGAACCTGATTCGTATCACAACATTATTTGGTTACATTCTTTCTTTCCCTCCTGGTGGTGGTATACTTGGCAACATTGTAAACTTGTGTGGTAATGTTAAATTCCTCACTGTGTCTAATTCTGCACCAGGTCGCGCTTGTTTTTCAACCCTGTTTTCAGAGTCCCGCATGATGAATTAGGGACCTTTTACTGCGCCGTGCGAGTCCCCATTTCTGAGCTTCACGGATCCCGCGAACTGGGTTTTTGCTTTGGTTCCACCTGAAACTGGGTTGCTATCCTTGCCAAGTTTCAAGTCCAGAAGACTGCTCCAGAATGCACCACCGTCAAGCACATAACCTGCACAAACCTACCATGTCGTTGTGAGTAGCATTGTAAACAAAAAGCAACGATCGCATTGCACCCAAAGTAGAACAAATGCTGACTGTGTAAGAATGCTGTTTTTTTTTTGTTTTTCTTTTTGGGCTGCTTTGCAGGCGTGGGAGTGGGATGGACCAACCAGCACTTCCCTGGCAACTGAAGTCCCGGTGCGACCGAGAAGCGAATCGCAGAGGTTTGCTACTGGGCTAACCTGAGAAAATTGCAGTGTCATCAACGAGCAGGTACCTTGACCGCAGTGAACTGCGCCACGCTGCGTTCATTGTTGCTGAGCTTGGACTTGTGAAAGAACCAGGCTGAAATGGCAAATTGGAGAAGGGAAAAACTGGCACTTGACTTGTTCCCATGGTGCATCCAAGGAAAAATAATGCTTGCTTAATGTTACCATGTGTTAACGTCCATCTAAGCGTGCTTAGTCTTGCCAGCGCAGGAATTCAGAGTGATGCGAATGGCTCCTGAAGCAAACTCACGCGCCCTCTTTTTCCCATACACATCACCTCTGACGCTTCACACTCTTCACACTGGGTCCTGCGCTCACGCTCTCACTCTCACTTCATCTCTCTCTCTCGCACAACACGCGCGCCTCCTTCCCGCACACGTCGGCGAAGTCTACAGACAGGGGTGGTTTTGTCGTGGCAAAAGAAGAAAAGCAAATTCATTACCGTCCCTCTTTCTTCGTGTCATAGGCCTGCGGCAGTCTGGCTGGGCTCCCCTTCCTTCCAAAAACCAAACCACCCGGAGAGCTGGCTGATTGCCATCCAGACAGGCCGGGCTCTCGAGGATGTGGCCATCGGTAAGGGAGGTGTTTGCAAGCCTGACAGAGTCGCCGTGATGAGGAGCAAGCTCAATCAGTTTTTCAAGGCTTTTTTGCAAACATCCAGCACAAGGCAGGTTGAATGCTGAACTT